CTCTCCTGACCCGCCCGCTGCTCCCCTCAGCAGTGTACTTCGTCGATCTGCCTGTTCTGCTCCCCACTCTGTCCCTGGTGAATCCTCTCACCCTCCACTTCTCTGGCTTGTACCCCAGTTCTGTATGAATAAATAAATCTTTAAAAAAATGACTGTGGAGTTGAGGGATGAGGGAACATAGAGGAAAGGGGCGCAGTGGATTGTGGTGGAGGGCTGGGGGTGCCTGGTAGTGGGTGTGCCGTGGTACTATGCACCTGAGGTGGTGCCTTGCATCACCTGTGGTGTTTTAAACCAATATTGTCTGAATAGAAAAGGAAGGAGGATGGGCTTTGGCCTCATAAAGTTTCTGCCATTTAGTTGCTATGTGACCTTGGGCTAGTTATATAACCTCTCTGAGGTTCTGTTTCTAATGTGCAAAATGTAGATAACACCCACGTCACAAGACTTTTGTGATAACTAAATGACATAATGCATGTCAAGCATGTAACAGAGCATCTGGTGTAAAGCGAGCCTGGAGACATACAGAGAACTCTGTCTAGATTTACATGTCTGTCTATGCCTATGCCTACATCTATAGCCTCTATATATAGATAGAGAAATCCTTAAAAAATAGTCTTCATAATACCCTGCGAGACAAACATTTTAATCTCAAGGGTGAGACAGAAGAGCACAAGTTTAGGAATGTAAATTCCCTTGTTAAGGTCACATAGACGATACACTGGACTGTCCAGCAGAGCCAGACAGGGAACTGAGGCCTGACCACAAGGCCCAGCATGTTTGAAAGCTCTCACTAGTGTTGAATTTGAAAGCCGGTAGAAGTCCTTAGCTCTCTGTTCCCTTGGGAAGTAGAGAGGGTTTCACCCTGGAACTGGGGTTGGACAGGCTTTAGAAGGCAACTTGTATGGGATCTGTGGGAGTGTGTGTGGGGGTGGGGTGTGGGGTGGGGGGGTCAGAGCATTCGGAGACGTGTGGCTCCTTGACCTTGGCCCTTTTGACTCAGTTGACTGAGATCACTCGACCTGAGTCTTCTAACTCCAGAAATGGAGATAATAAATCTCTTCAGGGCCAGCGAAAGACACTAGACCATGGTGTGTGTTTGCTCTCCCCGTGGCTGCCTTGGCCACTGTGTGACTCTGTGACACTCACTGATTTAGCAGCTGTATCTTGTGCCTGCACCATGTTGGGTGCTGGGATTCAGAAATGAAAAAGACACTTAGAGATGCCTATTGAGGCTGGACGAGAGAAAGCCTCAAAGCCACTGAGACAGAATGAGTGTGGTTTTACTTCTCATGGGGCTGTGACTTGGGTGCTCACCCAAATCATCACTGAAAAAGAGTGTAAATCTTCCAGCAGAGAGGTGTGTGAAGGGAGATATTCCCCCCAACCTTCCTACATACCATTAAGCACGAGCCCTGGCTAGAGCTCAGGCTGGAATAGGTACAGGACCCAAGAGCCAATGATTTGTGGGTGTGCTTACTGACCTACGTACGGGGCAGGTATGAAGGGGGGGGGGTGTAAGGGAACAAAAAGAAGGGAGGAGAGCTGACAGACTGAAAGTGCCCCTTTCCTGGCCCTCCCTGGTGACGTAGAGGGTTAAAGCACAGCACTGAGAATCTAAAGCTGCTTCCGCATGAGTTAGATCCCCGCCTGCCCCGTAGGTGACCACATGGCGTGGCAGACCTCTCCTGACCCGCCCACTGCTCCCCTCAGCAGAGTACTTCGTCGATCTGCCTGTTCTGTTCCCCACTCTGTCTCTGGTGAAGCCTCTCACCACCCCTGAGCCTCTGGCCTGTACCCCAGTTCTGTATGCACAAATAAATAAATAAAATCTTTAAAAAAAAAAATGCCCCTTTCCTGGAAGGAAAGTTAGGCAGCCTTGCTTCGTCTGCATAGCATTTAAGTAGCACTAACTTTACATCAGGAGAGGTGGTTCCTTCCCATTCTGTGCTCAACCAGTCTGGGGAAACGTCAGTCCTGGATTCGAGATCTGCAGCCTCAGTCCAGCTGCTGGACCATGAGGGTGAACGGGAGGAGGGGTATTGCAGGGTTGCGGCTAGCTAGCTCTGTGTTCACGCTGCCTCCCTGAGGGTGAATTTCTGTCTTCCGCTCTTGGCCAGAAGAACCAAAGGCCCCATGGGACCTTCACTTTCTGAATAAATGCAATGTCTCTGGAGAGATCTGTCTTCCTCCTTGGACACTGGGAACACGAGGAGGCTAAGTTCACCCAGCAACTTGGTCTGAGGGGCCATGGATATGGTTTCAGGAGTCTTTGGGCCTCTGAGGGCAGTTCTTGCAGCTCGTAGCCCACATCAGGAACCCCTGCACCAGAAGAGCCTGGAAATCCTTTGCTTTCTCATCTCAGGTTTCTGAGTGTCCTGGCCTGCTTGGATCTTTCCACATGGGAATCCGAGAGAGAGGATGCATTCACTATTTTTATTGGACTTCCACTGTGTGCCAGGCACTCATTTAATCTTCACAAGATAAGGTAGGCATCATGATTCCTTTTATAGAGCAGAGGAACCTGAGGCTCCAAGAGAATGAAATAGCTTGCCCAGGTCACAAGGCTGGGTGCGACAGCCTGGCATTCAGTCTAACCCTCTGCTCCAGAACCTTTCTTTTTCTCTAGGGTTAATGTTCTTCCTCAGTTTTTCCATTTCAGCTCCTCCTGGCCACCACATTGGCCCTGGGACAAAGTGGGGTTCTCCCTGTTGCACCCCACCCACTGAGCCCTCTATAATTAGGAGGAACTGGTTGGCAAAACTCCAGCTCCAGGCTTGGCAGGGGAAGTGCATAGGCCGGTGCCAGGCCTGGCAGGGGAGGGCCCAGTGTGCTCAAAGGGTGTGGGTGGTCCACCTTTCAATAAACTGCAGCAGAGAGGGGGGCCCTGGGGAGCTGGCTGCTGTGGCTCCCATGTAGCCCCTCTTTTGCTGTAGGAACCGAACAAAATGAGACAGGTGGGAACAGAGCTCTCCCCAATCCGCACCCTCAGTTCCCTGGAGCAGAGATGATGCCTGGTGGCAGAAGCCAAGAGGAGAGTGGGTCTTGGGGTCCCATTCCACGCTGGAGCCGAAGCCCCCGCAGCAGGGTACCCACGGCTGCAGCTATCCTGAGGGGTTCTCATCTGTCACCCTCTCCTTTGTCAAATCCAGAACCAGATCCTTCTTAGGGCGAGAGTGGGGGGACCAGCTGCTTCCCTGGGGTAGAACTTATCAGACTGTGCGGGGTACCGCAGGAGACCCTGATGAGAGGCTTGGAGGGTGGAATGTGCTGGTTGCTGGCTGCGGCGAGGCCTTCTCTGCGGCCCATCCACATCCATGCCAGGCCGTGTTCCGCCATCTGGGGACCCAGCTGTGGGCTGATTAGCCCTCAGAGGAAATCAGACAGATGTGCCGAGGCTGTGTATGTGTGTGGTGCCTGCACGTGAACTAATACCAGAACCTTCTCCAGGGAGCTGCCACCATACAGCTGGTGAACCAGGCGCCTCCTCCTTGGGAAGCAAAGGTGAGAGCTCCTCGTTTGAAAATGAGGTTGATTCAGACCCCTGGACACACAGAAATGGGCAGTAGTGGGAGTGGGCTGGAGAACAGGGCCTGCAAAAGCAGGGGCCGCTGGGGTCAAGTGACTCCCGGAGGTCGTCAAACTGGGGCTCCTGTCCCCAACCTCGCCCCCAGCTCCATAGTAGACACAGGAGCCCATCTCCCACACCCCAGCCCGCACGCAGCCCTCACATTCCCCGGGCTCAGGGGCAAGGGCAGGGACCTTATGCCTGGCCATAAGGTCCCTGAAGCCTCAGGAGGGTCCCTCCTGTCCTGTGCTGGCCTCAGCCGGGACCCTCGGCTGCAGAAACCAGAGAGAGGGAGGCTAACACTTGCCCATCACAGGAATGTTAATTCAGGCGAGAAAAAAGGTGGAATGATCAGTGTCTGTCAAAAATTTTATTGTTTTTTTTTTTCATTTCACACAGAATGATGTTAAAATAAATCCTCAGTCATATATATTTATATACTTATTTACTCGTGTTGATATTTACAAAAGACTGTGGAGTTCTATGAAGTCTGTATACACCCATGATCAGGTGGACAGGCAATGTTCATTGAGGCACGTATGTACACATATATGTATAACCTATGTACAAATATCAGACCCTACTGACACCGGAACTCTCAGCTGCAGAAGTCCTGAGCAGGGCAGTGTTGGTGGGCTGAAAGCTACCAGAATATGTCAGCAAGAATGATACTATCTATACATCCTGTGCAATGCAGTTACAGCTGGTGTCTAAATTGTCATGAAGCTAACAAATAGTTAAACGACTCCCATCTCCCCTGCGTCTTCCCCACAAGTCCTGCTCCGCCTTCAGCTCCCATTGGTCCCCAGCCTCTTATCACCATGGAGACCCCGGTTCCCTTTCGGCATCATCCTTACGAAGCTTCACCATCAGCCTTGGAGTTCCTTCTCTTATTGATCCCAGGGAGGCTTTTTATCTGCCTCTCTTCTCTGAGTTTGCAGCAATTATTAGAGACAGGACAGGGGAGGGCAGCTGTCAATCCATGCATGGGCAGTAAAGAAGCCAGTGCAAGCCCTCGTTAGAGTCTGAGCTGGGTGAGCCTGAGTGAGCGGCCATTTCCACATTTATATAGATGTGAGTGTGTAACACGTAGACTCCCCAGAGAAGGCCTATATAAGCGCAGCAGCACACAGGTCTAGCAGAGGAAATCACGTCCCGCACTCAGGAGCTTTACAGCTGTGTCCCTGATGAAAACTAGAGAATTCGCCTTGCTTGCTGGCACCAATAACTCTGACTGTTCCAAGATTACCCTTAGCGGAGCGAGGGTGTGGGGATGCAGAAACCCAGGCCAAGGCCAACTTGGCCAGGGCACTGTTTGCTCGGCAGGCTGGAGCTCAATCATGGGACTTTCCAGCTTCCTGGGGCCCTCGAATGGAGGACTCATCCAAGCACGACCACAAAAGGAAAGTGGGTCGCTGGATCCCACGTGAAGGCAGAAGTGGAGCAAGCAGGGAGCATGTTCAGACCCTCTGGTGCTGACACCCACCTTCGCCCAAGCCCGCCAGGCAGCTCCCTGGCTCTCCCTTCTGCTTCCCAGCCTGGGGCCGTTTCCTCTTGCCTAGGGCCACCTGGCAGGTCACAGACCTTGCCCTGTGACCTGCTCAAAAGACAATGATACGAACAGACGTGGGAATTGTCTGGTGTACAGGTAGCAAAGCCAGCCGCTAAGTGTTCCCTTACGCCCAGCTTCATCTCCTGCTTTTGCCAGCAACTAGAGTGTTCATGCGCTCATCCAAACAAGGTAGTCAGTGTCTGGGGAATTATTTTCAAGGAGGAGCAGGGCTGAGCGGCCTCTCGGGAGGACTGAGAAGAGACACAGGCCTGGGTCCCCTGTTTAGCTACCGTCGGTCCAGTTCGGCCACAGTCACACTGCCCTCAATTACCTAGATGTCACAGCAGCTGGCCACAGGGTTATGCAATCACACCTGCCCTGCGCATCGTCAGTGGAATGATGCGGGGAGTTCTCAGCTGCAAACTCATTTGGAACATAGCTGGCTATTTTAGGAGTGCAGCGGAGCACAGAAAGTTATATCCGTTTCCACGCTGAGGTCATGCAGTGTAAGAAGTGGCCATCTAGACAGGCTCTTCAACTGCCCTAGTTTACCCGCCTGTCATGCGAAGTCTGGGGTATGGGTTTCTCCTGGCTGACTGCTGCCAGCTTGGTCAGACCAGAGGGTTGCCGGGAGTGCGGAGAGACGGCAGGCACCTTTGCCCCAGATACCATGGAGGCAAGTTGGGGGCGCACAGTCAAAGGCAGGTGGTGAGGCTGGCACCTTTGCCCATGACCCACCACACTGCCAGGGAAGCTAGAGAATAAGGGCAGGTTTTAGCACAGACCCAGATGTGTCTCCAGAGAGGCAACGGAATCCAGCCTAGACTGGGTCAGAATCAACACGGGCTGGGTTTCTGAGCTGCACCGGCTGCTGCACCGTGTCTCACGCTCTCTGGCTCTTCCTTAAAAATGTTACTTTCAGATCTCACAAAATTCAAGACTAGGGCACCTCCGATGACAAAGAAAAACAACTAAACAAATGAATCCTTTGCCACGTCTTGCAGCTTTCCACGCCCCTAGCGCGACAAAGTTTGGAATAACTTCTCTGGTCCCCAGTGGTGAGGTTCCAGCCAAGCTGCACAGACAGAACAAAGGATCAAGCACCAGGCCCTTAGATCAGACTTCCCTTTTATCCCTGAGTCAGGCAGCCACCTGGGAGGGAAAGGAAAGAGGTGATCTGGGAGCCCGAGCTTTTGTTAGGAAAGAACAGCCTTCTCGAGAGAGGGCCCTGCCCAGAGCAAAAGAGCTGAGCTGGAGAGGAGGGCAGCATGCACAAGAATGTCATTGAAAAGATTCAATAAATGCAGTTTATTTCTCGGATTGCCAATTTTTTTCACATCCGTGAAGCTAAGGGGATTGGTCACTGTGTTATCATATAATCGTTGAAACAATGGTGTACATATATACATATACTATACACTTATATACACAGATATATGTATATATGGAAAACCTTGGCTACTCAGGACCAATCCACCCAAACCTCGATGAGCGAGAATTGCATTGTCTTTCTATACTTTCAGTAGAAAGAGGCAAACGGCGGCAAGGGCGTTCGTTATCTGAGGAGCTACGATCGCCCAAACAGCCACCTTCCAGGTGTGCCTGACCGCCAGGCACAACCACCGTCTCTTTGGTCTTCCCCATCTGCATTCTGTACAGTGAGCACTGAGGTTTAGAATGGTGACCCTGAGCAATGCAAGGTCTTTCGTGGCCTTCAAACATTCTACAGACTAAGGCAGAGAAGCTTTTACCAACCTACTTAGGCAATTTTGCTTTCAGTAACAAGGGCTGAACCAAAACATGCTTTGCCATTCCCAAATAACCAGGAGTGGGGAGCAGTCAGGTCGCTCCTTCCCTGAGGACTCCCCACCAGGTAACTGAGGTTTGGCTGTCCACGTGTGTGGCAGCAAAGTAGCTTGCAAAGGAGTGGAATTGGCCCCGGGGTTGCCAGTCTTCCCTGATGATCCACTCTGAATAGTCAACCCTACAGATTTTTCAGGAAAGGGGGACTCTTTTGACCCCCTCCTCCACATCATGTGTGCAAATATTTGTGCAACTGCAGACCGCGTGAGTGGCAGTTCTGTGTTTCATTCATGTCATAAACACCCAAACTTCTATCCCTGTAGAACTCTACTCACCAAAAAATTTCCTTCCCTCCCTACCTCTCATGGAGTCCCTTTGGTTAAGCTAGGACAGTCAAGGGCAATTTCCCCAATCTACCCAGGCTACTGATAGCAGGTGTAAACCTCCAGGCCACATTCCCCCAGCATCCATCTCCCTGGGGAGGGGGGATGGGAAACAAATGGATCAAGTAATGGCTTTTAGTGCATGGAAATGATCTTCTGTAATGGCTCAGGATGCCTTATTCTTATCTATTGGTAAGCTCTTTCCTGAAGGCTTCCATTACACCCTGCCAGATTGACAGGATGAGCAAGCTCAAGGATTCGCTACCTAGAAGTTGCACACACGCTCGTGAAGGTAGGTAGATAGGAGGAGACTGGAGGTTCACAGAGGCCTGCACACACTCTCAGGCACACATGGGAGAGACAGGGGGACACGCGAGCCTGTCGTGGGCTTTCCTGTGCACACACCATACCTCTGCGCATGCTCACATTCCAGGAGGGTCAGAGCCTCAGAAGACAGGAGCCCTGTGAACAGCGGGAAGAAGAGGGGATGACGGAGACTGAACTAACGCCCAGAGGCCAAGGGCATTTTTCTGATAATCCAAGTACTACCGTTGTCAGTCCTGAGAACAAGGTTTTGAAATAGCTATTGCTAAAGAAAACAGTCACTATTTATTTTATTGCACTTTTCCTCTTTAAAAATATTCAAACACAAACTATGAGAGATGGAGCTGAGTTTGGGGGGGAAGGAAGGAGGAAGAAGGCAAAACAGTGAACTGGGTTAGCTGGATGAAGAGACCCTTCCCTGCCCGCAGGGGACCACCCACCTCTACACCGCCCTTGCTCCCCCTGTGGGGCAGGCCTGGTCTGAAAAGGACCATGTTGAAGATGTGGTCACAAAGCCACCGGGATATTCCTGAATCCAGTGCCCTGGCCGCTGGCTCAGGCCTGCCTGATGTTCATGAGGCTAATGTCACGGGCTCAAACCTGGCAGTGGACACTGCCAGGGCTGGGGAACCTCCACTGGGCAACTAAGGAGCACCCTGGACATTACAGCTTATATGGAGCAGCCTGTTCAGCCATGACGAACAGGCTGTGAGGACCATGGGCCCAGGAAAACGGGAGCTGCAGCCAGGCCCACTTCTGGGTGCGTAAATCAAAGCATGTGCCCCTTCCTGCCACCCTCATATGCAAGTTACAGACTGTCCTTCGGGGAACGTCAGCCCTCCTCTCTATTCTCCAAGACTGTGTGGCAGCCTGGGCCCCTCAGCTCTCATGGAGTCCCTTTGGACAGAGGGCCTCGCCTTCTCTCAGCACGGCTTCACACGGATATTTTATGGCTGACAAGGAATTTTCCCAAAGACCTCACTGCACTGATGTGCAGAACTCAGGGAGAGCAGACAGAACAAGCCAGACCTGAAGTCCTTCCCATACTGGGTAGACTCATAAGCACCCAGGCCACCAAAACTCCCAAGGGAGCCCTTTCCACATCAGATCAGGCACACTCCCTTGGGGCTCTTTTTCAAAGGCCATCCTCCTGGTGACAGGCCTACTCCCGCCTCAGAAGCCCGGCTGAGCAGGACAGTGGGAAGCAAAGAGGAGGGGAAAATGTGTCATGTATTGCAGAAGCTTCAAGTAGTCCAGAACCTTAATTATGCCTGAAATTAAATTTTGGCTCCCAAATTTACTCTGATATTTGACCTGCTCAGTTACCCTCTGACAACCTCCTCACCTGTTCTGGAACTTGTTCTCTTTAGCTTCCTGAAAACTCCAACTTTTGGGGAAAAGTTTGAGCCTACTGGAGGAGACGCCTTCTGAAGTTCAAGAGAAAATTGCTATCTTAACTTGAAAACACTCGAAAGGCCCAGCGTGCTGGATTAATGTGCAAATTTTGGACCCACGCATTCATATTTTGCTGTGGCAGAAATGCCATGAGGTTGGAGCAGTGACCGTCACGGGGAGGTGGGTGGGACAAGCTGGGACACCTGGTGCCTGGCCTCACTTGAGCTGCTAACTTCTACTGGAGGTGAAATCTTTGCCAAACACACCCAACTCTCGGCCAAGAATGCTAGTTTCACGGTAATCCAAAACAGTGGGCAGTCTTACAAGCATTTAAATCTGGCCCGAGAATGTGGATAAGGATCACCTGCTCTAAAGCTTGCTTGTTTAGCATTCGGCTTAGGTCTGTAACCACGTTTCACTTAAGCTGAACTGGTGTGAGTTTCTTCAGGTGTAACGGTTGAATGGGAGTCAGGATTCCAGGTGGCGTCCTTCAAGGCAGAGGCGCAAAGGGGACTCAGGAGCTGAGCCCATTGGGCTTATTCTTAAGAACAAGTGATCGGCTACGTGCAAGTCAGGGACAAGTTCATTCATGGTCTGGACTTTTTCTGACCCGTCCCTGACAAAGCCGCTGGGGAGCGAGAGGCACTAAGGTATATAGACTGAGAGAATGTTGGGGGGCTGCTTCACCCCAGTTCTAGGCTCAGGACCCAGTAGTTTCTGAGCCACCACTCTGTCAAGAGAATGGGGCTGAATCGAGAGATCCTGGAGTTGAGAGCGAGAGCTTGGACTATGGGGTGTCTTGGGGGGATGAGGGGTTGCTGCTTTGAAGGAAGGGCCTGCTTGGCAAGGGGTGCATACTAACAGGCTACCCGCTGTCTTGGGTCCTTCCACACTCTGTACATGGGTTTCTGGTAGGAGGAGGGTGAATAGCTAGACACCCCATGAAATTTCCAGCCATACTCAGAGATCTGCTTAACAATGGTGGCCCATCTTTGAACCCTGGGGAAAGAGTAACTCCTCTGAAATCTGGGGAGTGAGAGGGAGAGGAAAGACTAGAAGAGACTTCCTGAAGGATATCTCAGGGTACAGATGCAAACAGAGGGAGGAGATTGACTCTGATCTTTTGTTAGTGCCTTTTCCAGCGCTGGGGGTTGAGCAATGGGCGTGCACTGCACGCAGATTGTGTGTGTGTTGTTGGGGTGTGCTGTATGTTGCATGTCTTGTATAAGTGAATGCACGGTGTGTGTAAAGTGAGTTTATGTTTTTCGTGTGTGGAAACAACAGCAGGGTATTCTTCGTGTATTCTGTGTCCACCCACTGTGTCCACGTGACTGCTGTGCATTTTGTATCTTCCTTGCCGGTGTGTCTTAGCTCATGGCTGTGTACAGCTCTCCTGCGCATGCTCTGTGCTGAATATGCTTGTTTTGGATCAAGGGAGACCCACCCATCTCCTGGGGAGGCCCTTGTCATTCGTTTGGTCCCTGGGGGTTTTACACGTGTGTGTGTGTGTGTGTGTGTGTGTGTGTGTGTGTGTGTGTGTGGCACGCTCTAGCGGTGTGTCTAGTTTGTCGCAGGTAAGTATACTCGGAGGCCTGGGAACATTTTATAGCCCCAGGTCAAGGACAATGGGATAAAATAGCAAGCCCTGGACCGAGACTTCAGGCATGGGTCATTTTTCTACCTATATTCCAAAGGCCTGTGTCCCTCCACCCATGTCTTGGGAATTCAGCACCATCTCCGTGGAGAAGAGAAGCAAAGACGCTTTGTGCTGGGCATGGGATGGCCTGCAGACCCCTGGGGATGTGGGTAACCAAGAACTATGAGCACCCTGGGCTTAGCGCCCTGAGCTGGTATCCCACCCCCAAGGTAACTGTAAGTGCCTGGAGCCAACTGAGAGGCCCGGGGCAGCCCGACCACAGAAGTCACTGGACTTGGGAAATTTCGGCTGTTATGCTGAAAGGCAAAGCAGGCCAGGGTGTGAGGCAAAAACCTGTCCTCCTCAACCCATTCCAGGAACACCCTGTAAGCTGTGCGGTGCTCACTCACTCTCAGCTGCTGGGGCCAGGGAGGGGGTCCTCACCCCGATTGCATTTGGTTCTCGCTAAGTGAGTCTGGGTGCCAGTTTCACAGGGAGGGAGTTTGAGTCTGTCAACCGAAATGATGCCTTCGGTCAGCTAGGACCTCTAGCCCTCGGTCTTGGCCTTTTGCAGGTAGAGGAGGTTCCCTTTCCGTCCAGCCCTGCGGAACTGGGTTCCCAGGGGCCCTCTTCAGGGTGAGCTTCCTGCCCAGTGACAATACAAATCAAACGCAGTGGGAAAAGGTGAGCATGGACATGATTAACATGACGGACTGTAGAGAGGAGGCCTGGGGAAGGAGAGGCGCTGGCCCAGGACAGCTGGAGATGCAAGGGCCCTCGGGCCCCTGTGCACTCAGTAAGACAAGCTTCAGCCACGGGAAACTGAAGCTGCAGCACGTGGAGGGCAGAAAGACAATTTTAACATCTAAGAACCCATGAAGACTGGAGTGTCTGAGGCAATGTCAGCAAACCAGGCCCAGTGGGGTCACCAATGAAGTCACATCACCCCTTCAGGCCTCTTAGACCACCAACCCACCAAGCAGTGGATTTGCTTCTGGACCTAAACTCCAGAGGATGATGTGCGTGTGTGTGTGCGTGTGTGCCCGAATGCACACACGGATGGATGTGTGCATATATATATACACGGGTATGTATATATATACACTAGTGCACATAGTCAAACACATGCATAAATTGCCCTGTGTCAAAATATTGCATAAGCTTATACAAGGTTCAAATGCAATTTTTTTTTTCTATAGCTAGCTAGGTAGAGGAACTCGTGTACGACATACTTGATATATATTTATATACACTGGATCCACCGATTTGCCTGTCCTCGGGACCAGATGCCCGGTTACCTGTACAAGTGCATGACTGGATTAATTTCTAAGGTGCAGTCATGTGAGGTGTTTAGATCTACTTTCCCTGTTCACTCTCCTGGCTTTGCAGAGGTCTGTGCCCCCATGTGGAAGACTGGGGACTTGGTGGGGGGGGGGCCTGGAGGGCTAGAGTCTTGGCCCCCCTGTTCCAAATAGTCAATCTATTTTTTTCTCCTGATTAAGGGCTTTTTTCCTTCTGTTGGGGGTGGGGGGGACCCTAGTTCATTGCCATTCCAAGGCTATTAATACTCTAATTATGAATACTGTGTAGGCTACTGAGAAAAATAGGTTATCTCCTGTGTTTTAAATATTGAGATTCATGCAACAAATACCCATGCAGCTCTATCGCATCACTGGTACATTTCTCTGCAATGTCAGTGTGGCCGGGCCACGTAGCCCTGGGAAAGCAGATGTCTGCAAACTCCCGTGTAACGAAAAAATCAGACATGTTTTGTGACCCTGCAGCCTGCAGGGATGGTAGAATCTGAGGCTGAGAGCTCCCTTGCTTTGTTAGCTTCCCGGCAGGCCTAAGGGAGCAAATGTGAAACTTGACAACTCACATTGGGTCATACTAACTGTCCCTCCCTTGGGCTTCCCTCACACTGACACTGCAGAGAAAAACCAAATGCAGCATTTTCCGTTATGAAACACAAGCCTCCGGAGGATCTACTTGGCAACTGCAATTCACAAACCCTCGCCTGTGACACAGAAAGTAATTTCAACACACAGGACTGTGTGTTCTTTTCAATGCAAAAAAAAAAAAAAGAAAAGAAAGAAAGAAAGAAAAAGGGAATGACCTTTTGAATCATTACCTTTAAAGCTTTAAAGTTAAGCCACCATGGTTTTCCTCGGTGCAGGGGGAGGTAGGCTCAAATGGGTTGTAGAGGTGGGGGACACATCTCCTGGGTCCTGTGTGTGATTGATTAGGAAGGATGTGGCAGGGTGGGTATTTGATGTGAGGTGGCCTCAATGTGTCTTTCTGAATTCCTGGCTCCATAGGTGATGCCCATCTTTGGAAACCCATAAACCTGGTGATGATTTGCATGAAAGCCATGGATAGATATTCTGTGTTCTAAATCAAAAATCAAAAGATCAAAAGTCACTTGCACGACTATTGCTTTCCATGCAGAACCAGATACACACTGTAGAACACACTGACTACAATGCAGGCTATTTATCTGCATTAGTTCCACTGAGCAGTGAGCATGTGAATAGGGTTCAGTCAGACATCAGTTAACATTTTGGTAATATTCACATAGTTTGTATTAGCCAAAGTGCAGTTGGCTGTTTTCAAGTTTTCCTCTCTAAAGTCCTCGTTACTGTTGTTTACCCCCTCCTGGATCTCCATGTAATCAGACTTACTAATAGTAGAGGCACTTCTACTTTTCTTTAGGTCGGGGGAGGATGGGATCTTTGGACAGCTCGTCACTTGCAAGTACTGGGCCTGTTCCTCTCCCTCTGTCTCCCGGTGGTAGAAGTAGTTGAAATTGGACACAATGACAGGGACCGGTAAGGCAATGGTTAACACACCTGCAATTGCACACAGGGAACCCACGATCTTCCCCCCAATGGTAGTCGGAACCATGTCTCCATAGCCTACAGTTGTCATGGAGACGACTGCCCACCAGAAGGCATCCGGGATGCTGGGGAACTGGGACTCTTGCTCATCGGCCTCTGCGAAATAGACGGCACTAGAGAAGAGAATGACCCCGATGAAGAGGAAGAATATCAGGAGACCCAACTCTCTCATGCTGGCTTTGAGGGTCTGACCTAGAATCTGGAGACCTTTGGAGTGTCTGGACAACTTGAAAATCCGAAAGACTCTTACCAACCGGATGACACGGAGGATGGCCAGTGACATGGCCTGCTGGCCCTGCTGGGCATCCTCTGGCTTCTCAGCCAGCTCGGTCCCCAGGGTGATGAAGTAGGGGATGATGGCCACAATGTCAATGATGTTCATGATGTTGGTGAAGAAGCCGGCTTTGCTGGGGCAGGCGAAGAATCTCACCAAGAACTCAAAGGAGAACCAGATGATGCAGAGCGTCTCTACGATGAAGAAGGGGTCGGTGAAGGACGTGGACTGCTGATACCCGATGGTGCTGTTGGAGTAGGTGTGGAAGGTCATGCCACCACCGTGCTTGTCTTCATTCTCGTCCCGGAATATGGGCAGCGTCTCCAGGCAGAAGCTGACGATGGAGATCAAGATGACCATGACCGACACAATAGCTATAATCCTGGCCGGCCCCGAGCTCTCTGGGTACTCAAAGAGAAGCCACACCTGTCTCTGGAACTCATTCTCAGGCAGAGGACGCTCTTCCTCTTTGATGTAGCCTTCGTCTTCTCGAAACATCTCCATGGCTTCTTCCCCCAGCTCGTAAAACCGAATCTCTTCAGAGAATATATCTAAGGGCACGTTCACGGGTCGCCTCAACCGGCCCCCAGACTGGTAGTAGTACAAAATGGCATCAAAACTGGGGCGGTTTCGATCGAAAAAGTACTCATTTCGGAGGGGGTCAAAGTATCTCATGCGCTTCTTTGGGTCCCCTAAGAGGGTCTCTGGAAACTGGGCTAAGGTCTTTAGCTGGGTCTCGAACCGCAGGCCCGAGATGTTGATCACCACCCGCTCACAGCACTCGTGGTCAGCCTCGGGGTCATAGGTGTCCTGCGGGTGGCCTGGGAGGGCAGCAGCCTCGTCCGTTGGGTCTCCGGTGGCCACTGTCATAATTGGGGCTGAGGGAAGCGCCTCACGCTACGCCTTCCAGCTGCCTGGTGGCAGGGAGCTCAGGGTGCAGCTAGCGGCCCCGGGAAACACAGAAGCATTGGCCTGGGCTCTGGCAGGAGAGCCCGCGGGGCTCCCTGAGAGCTGGACAGACAGCCTGGCTCGGCTGAAAGACAGAGGCAGTTAAGGACATGAGACCACTCGCAGCAACAGGGCCTGGGAGGCCGCTTTTGTCTCCCCCCTCTTAGCCAAGAAACGTGATCACCACCACGGTCATCAAAGAGCAGCACGGTTTACTTTCAACTCTAATCTGGCTGGGGATCACAGGGGGGCAGGTGGTCATCTCCCAGGAAAGCTGTGGAATGCCCTGCACTGGTGGAAGGTGGCTGGCACAGACCCCCGCTCACGGCCCAGGCTCTGTGGAGGTAACTGCAAACCAGAGGCCAGAGGGAGCCCTCTCTCAGGCAGTGGGTTAATTAATACCTTGCAGCTACCTGCAACCTGGAAGGTAATCCTCGAGACTGCTCTCAGCCTTGGGTTTCCCTCATTGCCCCCGCCCTAAGACTCTACACATAGCTGTTATTAAGTTATAGATTGATTTACCTGGCAAGGCAGGGATCTAAAGCGCTCTTCCTCACAGAGCTGATCAGAGACTGCGGGAGTCCTAGATACACAAATAGGCAGCCGGACGCTCCATCACGTCTTCACACTCGAGCTAGAAATAATGGTGAGTCATTCCAGGCAGGAGGGCAGGCTCTGGTTCCTGGAGGTGAGTTCCAGGGCTGGGCTGGGCTGGAGGGTCAGTGGTGTGGCTGCTCAGGGCTGCACAGGACTTGAGGACAAGTGAGCGATCTTCAGTCTGGAGCCTTTGGAAAGAAGAAGGTGAGATGCACAGCTCAGCAAAAGCCTGAATCGTCCTGGCTGTCCTCAGGAGGTGTGACGCTGCCTGGAAAAACAGCAGCAAGGTGGGACCAGGGCGCTGGTAGCTTGGCTCCCATGCCCACCTTTCCTCCTGAGGTCACACCTGAGCCCTACAGGTCTCTCCAGGTCGCACTTCCATCAGTTGGAAGCATTTTCTCCCAGG